AGTAAGTACACTTATGTAAGTTTATGTCGCTTTTATTTATCAGTATAAAATATTACGGTAATAAAACTTTTTTCAAGTTTTCTCTTTGGAGCGTTACTTATAACTTCTAATAACATTCGCCACACGTGGCGCATAGAAATGGCGCTGTGTTGTAAATTCTCTTGCACCCCATTTTGCGGTGCTCGAATTCCTTTCTCCCGATTAGCGCAAACTCTCAATTTCGAATTTTGCCGTGACAATTTTGCGAATAGAGCCGCGTCTTTTCGACAATGGACAAACAGAAGGGACCGTCGAGATTTCCGCGCGTCGAGAACCTTAATTGCACCCGCGGCAAACATTTGCATTTCAAGGGGCTTTTGCTTGCCTGCATAATGTTTAACACAGGTGCGCGCGAGTTTGTTCCAACTGGTTGGTGGAAACCGGTCTAAGTACTACAAGAGAGTACACCCTACTTGTATACACACTCTCCTGTATATCCATAACACACACACACACACACACACATACACACATGTGTGCCGCCCGTAGTGATGAGCCACTCAGGATTCAAACAGGTGTACATACACTTGGTTAAAAGTATGATCCAATTGTAAACTTCAGCAGAAACGCAATGTGTTACAACCGAGCGCGCAATTGCGAGAAAACTCTTTTCGCGATCTTTCTGAACAGCAGTAAGTGTTGTGCCGAATTGAAACGAATAACAAATAAGCTTAACAACTACTGATAAACTACATTCTCGTGTGGTCAAACGACAGATCATTTTTTGTTATTTATTAATTCGGTAATTCCAGTTTAATTTTATTTTTTGTTTATTACCGTTTATTAGTAGGAAAATGCTTAGTCGATAATGATTGCATTAATATATTGCTCGCGTTACATGCGTCGCGGTTTAGCGATTAATAAATCAAGTAATTGTCAACGAATTTATAATCAATCAAACTAGTGCAAATTGCGCGGTGCACGACGTGTGCACGCTATATTTTCGGATGATATAACGTGCAATGTCTGTAGCACGCGCGTGAAATTTAATTTACCCCCATTGCACTTTTGAGAAATCACAAGCGCGTTATACGTTATACAGTCTCTACAAAAACCCTATGCGAGAGATAAAGCAGACAAAAATTACACGTGTTAAACTGCGTAAGTTAAATAGTTTTTTTTTTTTTTTTTTCGTAAAAAAACAAAAACAGTTTTCTTTTTCCGAGATATATTTTCACACGCGATGGAGTTGCTCAGTTTTGCGCATTACACGAAACTAAGTGAAACTCCACGGCACAAGCGGTAAACTGCGATTAAAGTTTGAAACGCCGTGCCGAGCGTTATCAGTAGAGCCATTCGTAACCACCCACGTTACCCGCCCTTCGTCTCCTATTTTCCAAGTGATAAAACATACCCATATTATTTCCCTATATCGCCACTATCTCGCGAAGACAACCTATTATATCCCCGAAGAAGTGTAACCTCTGTGAGCAAGCTCAGACCTTTAGCAATTCCAACTTCTCCGCCCTCTCTCGTAACCGAAGATCAAATAATAAATTATATTCTACTACATCAGACAGAAAGAAAGAGAGAGAGAGAGAGAGGCACAAATGCGATAACAGAAAAAATCCCCATTTTCAGGCGCGGAGGAAAAAAACTCCACAGCGAGCCACAGTGTCATACGTTCATCTAGCGTGTTATAAATTTATCAATTTTATTGCGCGAGTTTCTGCTACGTACAGTTAAAAAAAAATTAATCTACAAATTGCAGAGCAATTCTTTCTACCGAGCGAAAAAAAAAAACAAACGCGTTCTTCTTAACGAGCTTATTCATCGCGCGGGAAACCATGTGGGAAATTTGTTATCTCGCGCCAGCCCGCAATTCCTAATTCAGCGAGCCTCAAATTTCGTCGGGGGCTTTCTCGCGCGAGCGATTTGCGCGCGGGGCCAACGAAGCGTGCGCACGTCACGATCGTCACGATTTTCCTCCCGGCGTTGTTCCTCTCGAGCATTGATTTTGCTGCGCCAATCAAGAGAGCCTGCCACTGCAAAGGAGAAGAGACAGAACGAGATACAGAGAGAAAGAGAGAGAGTCCGGGCTCGACGAATTGCGATCCAACGGCTCGTGTAACTTCACTGGAATCGAAAGGTAGTCATTCGGAAGGAATTTGCCGACCGCTCTTTTTCTACAGTTTCAACTTTTTCTCTTTTCCTTTTTTTGTTCCTTCTTCTCTTAAGCTCCTCGAGTGAAGGTTATTCGACGAGAAATCGAACTCCACTACGTGTGTCTAGCACTGACCAAAAGAGAAAGAAAGAGAGGGAGTTTCTCGACGGCGATTATCGTTTAATCTTTTCCCTTTGTTGTCTAGGATTAACGCCGCGCACATTGCATCGGAAACAACGTCCCCGATTATAACGATATGTCAGGTCGCCGTAGTGTAACACCTACATAACTCCCGAGAGAATTATTCACGTGTTGACGGCAGATAATAACTGCACGGAGAGAGAGAGAGAGAAAGAGAAAGAGAGATACGTCGACTAAACTTGAACTATGTGAAATTGAACAGGAAACCTAGTAACTATACTGCAAAAAAATGTTTGTTGCAAAAAAACAACGCGTAACTTTGTTTTCACGAGCGATTTTCTTGATTTCGTATTCACGTATCTCACTTTTACACAACATTTTTATCGAATCTCCTTTTAGTTGTCTTTTTTTCAAATAACTCGCTTATTTCGCTTATCTCATCTAATTTTTTTTTTGTTTTTTGTTTTACGAAGAACAGTAATTTTTGTTCACGCTCGCTTCGCGAGAGAGGAAATCAACCGTTTTGTTTAGCAGAATATTCGCGTGCTAGAGCTCGCTCGTTTGAGCAGTCGCGTGCGGATTATCGCGCGGGCGCGATTTAATCTCTCCGCGTGCATTGCGCGAGTCTCTCCTCCGTCTGTCGTAATTTTAAACAGGTCGCCGCCGGTGCTATTATGCGCAACGATGCCTCAACTGTTGCATGCGAAGGATTAATTTCACGTGCCGACGCGAGGATCTTGTTTGCAATTTCTTGCCCCGCGGGTATTAGCACGCGGGGGCGAAATCTCCCCCGTGTCTGAAATTTCTCCCCGACCCAATTCGTCCTGTGTACACGTACATAACAGCCGGGCGCGATCCCAACGGGATATCCAAACTTCGAGTCATTTCTTGCCTCGGCAAGACAACTCGTCGGAGAGATGATCAATGCGCGTTGTCGCCTTCCTAAAAGTTCCCTCGCGATCGACATCAATCGAGACTGTTTCGATTGATTCTGGACATTGGATTGACGCCAAATCCGAAAAATCGATTGAGACATTTGCGATAGTAAAAGTTTGGCATCCGATTAATTGACATTTTAATATCACATTACGCTGGAATAAATTGAATTAATTTTACAAAACGTTTATTAATATTAAAATGATAAAAGTTCGTTAAGTGAATTGAACTTTATTTAAATGTTACGTTACACTTTATATTAAATTTATTAAATCTAAAAAAAAACATTAGGTTTCAAAAGATTACCACAAAGATTTCTCTGAAATGAAATTCTATCGTAAACTCGTGAAGCGAAGAATGGAAGAAGACGACAGAACCTCTCGCGTTACATAATTAATTCAAGTACACTTAAGAATGTCGTGATTACTGCTCAGACAAATTCAGTGTGTTATTTGATCTTAATGTTCTCCCACGATCCTTATTCCTATCACTACTACACTACTTTACATCACTGTTCGCATCAAGCGCAAGCTTCGTTCTGTGAGAAGTTACGACATAATACGTCGCAGCCACTTTCGCAGTCTGTGCGAAACTTTCGGCGAATTTGGCGAACTGAAATTAATTAACGGAAGACAATGTTCACCTGCGACCGCCAAATTGGCTCGCTAGCAGTTACGAAAATTCGATCTTAATTAATTAAGATTGTGTCATAAATTCAACGTCGCACGCGCTGCACGATGATCAACAGAGCGTGAAGTGGACTTCAGAGTGGACGTAAATTTATGCTACACTCTTAATTAATTAAAGCAACGTTATGAATAATTGTTTATTCAATGCGCCTCTCGACTACGTATAATTAGAGGTTTATTTTCACTTGTCAACTTAATTATATTTTTTTGTGTGTGATTTAATGAAAACACGAAAAATTTATTTAATTCTTTCGCGCAAAGAAAAAAATCTCGCGTAAGAAAAAACCAGTAATAGTTTATAAATTGCGGTAAACTAGCCAACAGCTTGGCTAAAGTGAGTTTAATAGCGAAGCACCATTTTCCGTGTCAACGTCAGCACGAAACTTACTTTGCCGTATGATCGACATGGAATAATTTATTCTATCGATTATCCGCTCGAGTGCTGCAGTTCGCGCGTACGAACGACATGTTGAAACTCAGTTAAAATCGCCAAAAATGTTTTACTCGAACTGTCAGACGCGATAGGCGCGAGAATCGATAAAAATTTTTGAGTGCCAATAAAAAAAAAAAAAAACTACGACGATGTGATTGTTTTCCCCTCCCCGAACAAGATGTCGGGAGAGGATATCTCTCGCTATTTATTATTTCCGCAACGTGATTACTTATTTCCAGAAAATCACTTTGCATTTTTATAAGACCGCGCGGAATTCCGCGTTTCTGCAAAATGAAAAATGAGTACGCGCGATTTTTGCGTAAGCCGTTTTTGCATATTTTAATATGTCGCGTAAAAATTGAAATAAATGTGAAAGGACAAAAACTGAAGCACTTTTAATTGCTTTTACTGCGCGCGAGCACACACATACACAAAGAAATAGATTTTTTTTTTTTTTGTTACAAAACGGAAAACTCTATTTTTGTCATCTCTTAACCGCAAAACATTTTTAATCTCTCTTTTGTATAATTTCAATGTCTCTCTTTACCGATATTAGATATAAAAAAAAATATCTTAACGTACAAAAAAAGTCTTTCCACGCTTGCAAAAACAAATTCCGTATTGTCATTATTAATTCTTAACGCAATGACAGACTCACCTTGACCCAGGTTTCGTGTGTGAGTTCCACCGGTTACCAAAACAGACTCGTCTTCCTCGTTCGCACCCGTTTTTACACTCTTCGTTGTACGCGCTCGTAGTGAGTTTCTTTGCAACGTGATCGTCGTGTCGCCGCCTCTTCCTGCAAAGAAGAAGAACAACCGCCATCAATCTCGACCGCGCAAACAAGAGTTTGCGAAACTGGGTGAATCCGCGTCTGATTTGAAAGTTACGGAATTCGGGCGATTGTCGCGTTGTCGATCGCTGAACAATAGAATAAAGACGTCAGCGACGTCACTTTCAGTGACGCTTTATGGCGCGGTAAAAACCGACGCGCACAAATATCTATAACAGCCCGATAATGCTTTTTATACAATTACACACACACACACACATACACACATAAACACGTGTTGGATTATGGAGTAGTTTAAACAAATCGCCTGCAGATTGTTAAACTTTGTTCGGCGAAACAAAAAGCTCCAGTAATAATTTAGGTAACACCAATGTCGAGAGAATTATGCATGTTATAGCAAAACCCCCGATGTTTGCATAAACGTTACAACTTGTAAAAGGCTAAAATTTAAACAATCCCGGCCATATATTAATGGATAGCATTAACGTTTCGCTAATGAAATACACGAGACTCGGTACTAATTAATTGTAATGTAGATGTTAATTTATTATTATATTAACACATTGCATATATATATATACATATATATACATGTACATATATAAAATATATGAAGTTTGTCGTAAAAGCTTTTAATGATATATTTCCGTATTTTCACGTGGTGCGGGGCGAGTGCGTATGGTATTGTATTCCGGAACCGCGGGCGCAAACAGCACGAGAGAAATTGCGGATAAATGTTCAAAATTGCATTTCTATCTCCATTTACGCGCATTCAAACGAAACAGAACGCGCTAGTCTAAGCGCTTTCCGTGCATGAAGAATTTCTTCCTGAGAGAACAAACTCTAAGGAGAAGATAATTTGAATATATCTCTCGCGCGCGCGCGCGCTCCTCTTTTTCACCTGTGCGCACGTACCGTCGTCGTCTCGGCGTGTTCCGTTCCGAAAAACGTGCTTTGTAATTTCAACCGTAGGTACGGCACACACGCGATGCGATTCGCACACCATCCAAATATCGTTCGGAAAGGCTTTTATATCAACGACGATCTTCAAAGAGCGGAAAATAGAGAGCCGCGCCTTCCTCTCTCTCTCTCTCTCAACGTACACGTTGTCATCTTCATCCTGCGCTTGTTTTTTTTTCTTTTTTCTTTTTTTTTTTTAATCCTGATTCTCCGTACTCTCTTTCTCTGCTCTCGGCGCACTTTATCACCGGCACTATATCACAAGCAGTTCATGTATCCGCCGTATAACTGCGTATAATTCTTCTTTTTTTTTTTTTTCTGATAAAGATTCCCGGATATATAAGGATAGCGGAAATTAGATTTTGCCAGGAGCAATTTGAAGCGAATTTGCCAGCGAGAGGATCGAGAAACGACGAGAACAAGTTCAGAAACGAAGAGAGCGAATACTGTACTATCACGACGCGCTTGATAATGACGTTGGCGACGGCGAAGAAGAAGAAGAAGAAGAAGAAGAAGAAGAAGAAGAAAGACAACGTTGTTGTTCGTTTCATTATGGCTTCTTTACAACGTCGTGGGTTTCTTCTCATCGAGTTGGCCCCGTATTTTGCGCCAAAGTCCACCTGAGTATCTTTCCAGTCGGAAACGTGATCGGAAAACCCGGCATGAAGCCAATCCCGCTGATCGTTCGTCGAGTCGCGTAATGAACGTTTCACCTACGCAAAGCACGGGAGCGCGTAACATTGGTCGTAACAACGTTCAAGTAATTTAAGCCGTATTAAGACTTTGGGATGTTCAAACTAAGGCGAAACTCGCGAGCTCGCTACTATATATCCCCGACGTAATCCGACATATCTTTCACCTTAATCCGGATACGTTTGCGGGGCGAAAAAAAAACTTTCTTCCAATCTAAGAAAATTGCGCTAATCTGAAGAGTTTATCGAAGAGAAAACACACGTCGCGCACATTTGTGTGTGAAAAATCGATCGATAACTGGAGACCGCGTCTCGTTCAAGTCGCTAATCCGCATCGCGAGTTTCGAACGGGAATAGCTTGTGCGAGCCAAATAAATCAAATAGCTTTCAAATTAGAAGTACAAAGCAATCGAAGAATTATTATTTCTATTTTCTGTCTTTTGTTCGACAAATGGTGCATCAAATTGCAACAATGCCGCTCGGGCGTAAGCTATAAATTTTACGTTAATCTATCGATGGTCTATTTTTCGAAGTTTTGAACGAAGATTGATCGATGACGAGTGACGTGTGTTTTTCCATCATGTGACAATTTAGGGATGTAAAATTCAAACAGTTTATCGGCGATAATCGTTTAATTTTTAATTGTATTTTATCGGTTTGCGTTTTTGTTTTTATTATTTAACAACAGTCGCAGAAAGATTGAAACAACTATAAAAAATTTGTGGATTATAATTAATTCTTCTACCGCGTATATATACGTCCGCTTTCGTTGAATCCGTCAAAGAGAGAGAAAGTCATAGACAACTATATCACAGACTTGTTAAATCTTGCACGTCATCTGGTTTCCGCCAATATAGCTCCGCAAATTTCCATAAAATTGGGAAAACTGTGGCTGAAACGAGCGTAAAGTCTAGAACGTCGTATAAGTTTGTACTTGCGCATCCGAGATTTCTTTCTGTCGCTGTAAGCCACATTTTGCCAATATGATGTAAAGAAATATTAAATTTTCACAAGAAATTTTACAACGTAAAATAATCATTTTCAAGTGAAGTATTTTGTATTTTTCAACGTTATTATAAACAATCTAAAAAAATAAGTAGTACGTTTGTCAAAGACTTTTAATGTCAAAGAGAAAATAAACTACTATTATAAGAGAAACAGTTTTATACCAACCAACATTTTGTTTTTTTTTTATGTGTATGTGTGTTACGTATATAATATTTAAACTTGCACACAAAGCGAATTTATTTTCATTCTTTAGAAACGTCTGTTGCCACACAGTCGAATCACTCTTCAGAAAACAAAAGCTGTTTCATGTTCGCGCAAATACTCGATTTTTGTACGAGCCAGAACCAACTCCGCAGAAAATAAAAATGGAGAAGTTTGAAAAAGAATCGGTACCACGAAAAGCCACGACAAGCTATTCGAATTGAAGCAAGAAAGAGCACTTTGAAGCTGACCCGGTACCATTCATTCGAGTGGGTGATTTTTCCTGGTTTTTCGTGTGACGACGCTTCAATCGCTGGATCTGCCTTTGACTTCTTCTATTCGTCAATATTATTTAGAAAGTCCAATTGTTCATGTGCTATTTACTCACGACACCGTTCAGTATCGAACTCCATGTAACATTTATTAATAATACGTTTCTCTCTCTCTCTCTCTTTTTACGTAACTTTAATGTGTGGATATTAAATTAACAATTTATACACAAAAGTTTTATACGTGCACTTTTAGTTTTTAACTTACGAATTTAAAGTTTCTAGAAACGTATTGTATTCTCGCACCTTTTATTATTCAACGGTCCTTGTCTTCAACATTTTTCACATGACTCAAGCAGTCCTTTGATTTTCAGTCTCCTGTCTCTGTGTCACAATCTTATTCAACACCGCAATTCTTTCTCTTTCTTTTCAGTGAAAAGAATCTAACAATCCGTATTCTCGAAGCCGAATTGTTACCGAGTACTCTCTCTTTGAACATCTCTGTTAAAGTCGAACGCAGCTTCACCTTTCATTATCGTACTTCAAACTGACTCGCAAAAAACGGAACATAACGTACTTGCGAGCGAGAAAAAATTCTCATCACACGAGGAGAGAATTGCTATTAAGAAACGCACCGTTAAGCATACAATGTTCTTTTCAACTCGAATAAGTAATAAAAACAGTATAAAGTTAATTTCTTCGCGTTATATATTTGTTAATTTAAAATCTATCCCTGACACGGGTGCGCGTATTACTTCAAAACTCGTGCGATTTTAAACAAATATAATCACTGCATCTCTCATCGATATGAAAATGTATTTCTTACTAGATAAACGTTCGAAGAGAGAGACTCAGCGGGGGATTTTCCCCGAGGAGAGAAATTTTTCAAACGCGATAGAGCACGTCGGCAATAACTCTCTGATCCAAATCAGATGTCGTAGAAAACACCATTCCCAAGTTAATTGCTTTCTTCGCGATTGCCAACCGAGATCTTGCGGCGTCAGTAAAAGCAGTGCGGGCTGGTAATTGCGAGCAGCGATAAAGACGAGGGAAATAATGGTATTTCCGAGGCACTTTCAGAAAAATACTTGACGCGCTCTGTAAGCTGCGGTTACGGCCGGTCATTTCCCACACTATTTTCCCAACTATTCCTGGTTCAGATACTTTGCCAGGTTTTGCGACGGAAATGGCACTCGCTCTCGCGCTCAATAACACACGGCGTTAAAAAGCATTAAGACGCGCGCGCGCGTGTCAATGATTATTACCGCTTTAAAAAATTCAGTGGTCACATATAACAGGAAAACCTTCAACAGAAAAACGTTTTAACATAATTTTTCTTCCTGCAAAGAGAATTATCGAAAAGGTTTCATCGTTCCTGTTTTTCAAATGCGCGCGAGAGTCTCTCGAGTAAAACACGTGCGACAGTTTACATACTCGCGAGTTCTAGTTTTCCTCCCAGGGTAAAACTATGACGTGTGATTACATTCGCTGATTAGTTTAACGCGTCAGCGCATCATGTTATACGCGGACGCGGAAAATAAGTAAAATAAATTAAACTAAATTAACGGGGGAGGAGATAATGATTCAAAACACGCGACAGGCGCGTTAATTATAAGAGTCGCGTAAAATTCTAGCTTTTGCTTTATATACCGCAAATGGTGAAATAACCACGATATAATCTGCAACATTTATCCGCGCTCGTGATTTTCATAAAAATCGCGCGAAAAATATAATTATACACTGTTTTTTGTTTCTCAGCAAGATATTGCGTTTGCGCATGTAATTTCTCTGTATCTTGTTCTATTTCTGTGTCTGTCAGAATTTTTTGCGCGAAAATATATTTCAATATATTTTTCTCCGCTCTTTCTGTCTCTCT